CATTACGAATTTCTGGTTATGCCATTCGGGCTAACCAATGCACCAGCTGTCTTCATGGACCTAATGAATAGAGTTTGTAGACCATACCTAGATAAATTTGTAATCGTCTTCATAGACGATATATTAATTTATTCACGAAGCAGGGAGGACGATGAGCAACATCTGAGGATAATATTGGAATTACTCTGAAACGAGAAATTGTACAAACTGCCTTCTTTAACCCATTATATTTTATTCTCAGTGATACTAATTATGTCTGGGACCCTTAGCATGCAAATGACAGTTTAAGTCTAGGCATCATGCTTTGAATACCTAAATCTCTTAAACTAAGGCTTTGATACCACTCTGTAACACTCCCGAACACCACATTTGCATATAACACATATTTCATTACATAGAAATACATAATACACCACAATGGTCCCACTAGTACAAGGATTCTTATATGTACAGAATTTACATATGAAAAATTTCAAAATATAATCTTGTACTATGACATGTATAACAACATGTATTCTTCAAAACAAGCAGTCTCATGCAGATCTTCAAAAGCAGATATCAGATTAGAAAAATAATCACATTTCTCCTTTCCCCTTATTATCCTTGAACCCCGCAGTTCCTGCATTGCATATTTTTTAAACAGAAAATTGAGGGTTAGACCAGAAGGGTCCAGTGAGTAAATCGCTTCCATGCACATGCAGGGTGATAAACACCAAAATTTGATAAAAACAACTTTACCCAGAAATATTTGCATTCCACAATATAATGAGTAATAAGATTACTTATCAATTCTTGTTGTAAACGCACCTTGTCACACCCCGCTAAAGCGGAAACACGAGGCGTAACAGGTAAGCATTTTATAGCTCCAATAAATAGATAACACTACTAAGTACAATATCCAAAAAGAACCTTACAATATCATCAAGTTTACTGTTCACGAAGAAAAGTTTATTTACAGAGAAGTTTCTAAAGCTTGTGAACAGATGATAACGAAAGATGCTTCCAAAAACTTCCATTCTTACTTAATTTCCTRAAAASRCATGARACATAAAACGACGTCAACTACAAAGAGTTGGTGAGTTCACGGGTTTTCAAATGCACAAAATATTTACCATGCATAAAACACAGCTTGCAAACTATTACAAAACATGCTCATTATAAATGTAAATTTTCATCGATGCTGAAAAACTTGAGACGCTACARAGCCTTACCTGACCAATGTGCCCCATTAATTCACGAACTACCATAAGTGACCTGTTCACTCACTTAGATACCACGGTTCGTATTAGTGCTACTTTAGCGGTGGGCCTTTTGCACACATGAGTAGACTATTTAAAACTTAGGTAATGTGCACCCTTTTCTGGGTGGGACTGTCAACACAATAGCGGCTATCCATAATTACCACGGCTCGGGGACGTGCCCGAGTTAATTAGTAGCGTGTACGGACGGGGAATTTTTGCAATATCCTCTCAAGCACATCAATTTATCATTTATAAGTAGTGCATTAGAATTCAAATCTTTCATGATTATCACAAAATTTTACTAAACAGTTCCTTAGTCCATTAGTTTTACAACTAAAACAATATAGTTTGCATTCTTTCATGTTTTTTCCCCCAGTTAAAAGAAATAACTAAAGTAGTAAAAATGGGGCCGTGAAAACTCACAAGTTTGAAGGAGAATATCCAGGATTTTGGTGAAGCTTAGAGCACCAACATCCGCACTAATGTCCTAATCACCCGAAATTCAAATAGTTAGATCACCCTTCGGGTCACGATATAGATAACTTAAGATTATATCTTATGTAATGCCAATAAACCTTTATGGGTTAACATTGTTACCAAAAAGAAATAATCCAATATTTAAAATAAAGAGGGTTTTTGCACAAAAAGTTGTTATTTGGACAGATATATAGACTCTGTTCCTGGACTCTTGGTTTCATCAATCATTGTCAAGGGAACCTTCCAAAAATCATTTTACTTTTAATCTTTTTAAAACTACAACCGTCACTGTTGTTAAATTTCTTTTGTCTAACAGCATCATTATTGCTCCTAAAATTTCATATTAAGCATTTTAAATACCCAAAATTTATATTTTTGAGTGAAACCGAAACAGTAACAACAACTAATCCAAAACAGAATTCAAGATAAATCAAATAGTTTGGGGTTGATTTTGAAGAATACGGTTGACAGGATTGTTGGAAACAACCTGTCAGTTTCAAAATGTCATTTTATTGATTAAATACTACATGCAATGTGATTTTACCCCCATATTCTTGAGTTCTAAGTTTATAGATCATAGATTATCAACATTTCGAGAACATTTTCATGTCTTTGATGAATAATCTCCCATCTTAGATTTTCCAGAATATTTGAGCTCGAAAAATAGGAAGAAATGTGAAAGTGACGAGAAATAATGTTGAAAAAGATACATAGATAATAAAACTAATCTATTACCTTTTTGCTTGTTTTTTCTTGAAGACTTGAATGTTCTTCAAGATTTAAGAAGATTTTGATCAATGGGTTCGGCTGGAGGAAGATGAAAGGTTTAGAGAGAGAGAGAGAGTAAAAAGGAAATGTGATGGTGAAAGAATGATTTTCAAAAGAGTTGGGGTTTTTATATGATGGTAGTGGGGTCGGCCCATACAAGGCCCAACCACCATATTTTTCTTTTATTTTTCTTATACAAACTCAGCCTAAATAAATATAACTTTAAATACATTTTATCAACACCAGAAAAAATAATTATTTGCACATACAATTAAATTTATAATATCGATTTTATTTATTTTAAGAGAATTTTAATATATTTGGCATTACATAAGTTACTTTATCAGTTACCCGTCGTGACAGAGTTTTCTGAGCTATAAATTTGGGAGCTAAGTCGATTGATTTTCTAATCATGACTAATTCCTAATAAATTAAAGTCCTGATTATAGGAGTCATTTTAAAGGTGCTAACCTGATGCTCCAAAAGTGACGGATGTCACACACCTATTCAAAGATTCAAATTCCCCATGATGGAATTACAATAAAAATCCTTTTGACACAACAGACTAGAGCTTTTTCAAAAGACCGGAACTCTTCTACATGAAATATAAAATTTAGGCAATGGCTGCCTCTTATGTCAAACCATTTTCCCCTTCTTAATAACAACTAAATTATTATTTCTAAATAAGAATAATATCTCTAATTCATCAAGTCACAAAGAAATGATGATTCAAAGTTATTAAGTCTAATTAATAATAATAATAAGAGTTATAGTATTATCCACACATGACAATGCCTCCCTTATTCCAAGTACACATCTCATTGATATGCCACTCTTGTTTCTCCATCAAAACAGGGCTACTTACCAGAACAGACAAACGTCACCACATCTGGAAGTACCCATTACCCAGTTCCAAGCCAGAACAGACAAATGTCACCATGTCTGGGGGAACGTCTTAAAACAAGTTTCATACCAAAACAGACTTACGTCACCACACTTGGTAGAAACAATTCCCAAAATTCAGTTTCATACCAAAACAAACATACGTCACCAGGCTTGGTAGGAACACTTCCCAAAATATAGTTTCATACCAAAACAGACTTACGTCACCACGCTTGGTAGAAACATATATTTTTATTTTAAAAAGATATAAAATACCCCTTTTTCACAATAATATAATTAAATCCAATAATAATTATCATTAAATTGTAAAAATTCCAAGAATGCTCAACACTTGTAAATTTACACCAAATGTAGACATCCAGACAAGTTATCCGGATAAGCTATCTGGACAACACTGTCCCTTGTCTGATTTACAAATCCGGACAACACCCTTGTCCGATTTACAAATCCGGACAATATAAACAAGTCCGATTAATCACTAAACTAGATAACCTTTAAGCGATTTTATGGCTAATCCGCACAACACTTGATCGTATTCCTACTTCTCCGTTCAAAACCTTTGTCCGATTTACATAATTAAAATCTCACTAACTCTCTAAATCGCATAATACTATGTTTGATCTACAGCTAAATCGGACAACACCTATCCGATTTAAGATAATCCAGACAACCCTATGTCCGATTTAGAACAAACCGGACAACACTATGTTCGATTTAGAACAAACCGGAGAACACTATGTCCGATTTATGCATAACCCGGTCACCCCTTTGTCCGGATAAAAAAGCCAAATCGGATACAAAATTTCTTAAGTTAATAATCAATTTTCAATAAAATCAGTAACAAACGCTATATGAAGGAAATTTAGAAATCACTCACCTTATGCAATTACTTTGGTTTTGAAGAAGATGAAATAGCAAGACCAATTGTTTCTCCGGGCAACTCTTCTCTAATTCTCTCAAAATTTCCAAAAGAAGCCAAAAGGCTTTTCCTTACTCAAACTCAATATATATAGACTTTCCTTATATGGAAAGTCGGCTATCCATGCCTTCACCCACATGCATGCTTATAAGTAAAATCATCCATGCATACATATAACTCATGCACACACACTCATGCATATTAATATAATGCATACATATATATATATATATATATATGCACCTACATATTTGCCTATATCCCTATGTATAAAATACACATACTCACGTATTTAACCCATGTAAGCATGTATCCATATAAACAATTAATTCACATAATAAATAATCTTGGGTAATAACCAGGACCAAATTATCACAAACTACCACATTCATAACTACATATAGATGTGTAATTGACCATTTATGAGTTAACAAAACTGGCAATGATTGTAGATAGCACTAGACTCATCAAGCTAGATGAAGAACAAGAATCCACTTCTATTATCAAGGTCACATATTTTGAAAAGCTCAACTGAAGTAAACCAAGAAACATCATTTTGCTTGTAAATTTTTTCCATCGTCAAATAAGAGTATTATAGATATTGGATTATAATTTTCTAAGGTAAGCCATTTCTAGAAAGAATCAAAAGTGAATACATTAGTGGTCTTCTTATTAACTTTGTTATTCAGGTAATGGACGCAAACAATGCTAACTTTGTTGCTAGTGATACATCTAAAAAGAATAAGCGAAAACTTGTTTTGGATAATACTACCTTTATGGTGTTCATTGATTTGTGCATGAATGAGGTTAAAAATGGGAATAGACCTGGTAATCACTTAAATAAGCTTGGGTGGGGAAACATAGAGAAGAAGATTAAGGAATGGACAGGAAAACCTTTTGACAAGAAGCAACTTAAAAACAAATGGGACACTATGAAGAAAGAATGGAAGTTGCACGATCATTTAATGAGGATTGAATCTGGCATTGGATGGGATCCCGTAAGAAAGACAATTGTTGCATCACCAGAGTGGTCGGACGAAAAAATAAAGGTAATACTTACTATTTTCTATATATTCTTTTGTTTTCTATTACTTGTTGTTGGTCCCGTTAGGGTCTACAAGATGTGTATAACAGTTTGTAGAAAGGGGGGTGAATATAAACACAATAATCTTTTCAAATTTAAAACATATATTGATAAAGAAGGATCTATACAGATTTTACAAGATTGTTTGCGGAAAGATAAGATAAATATATCCTCTCTAAACATGCTAAGTTACACACTAGTTCTTCGCAAAGAGAAATGATTTACTGTATAAGACTTTGAAGAAAGTAAGTTCTTTCTGGGTAAGAACTATTTAGAATACTAAAAAGGGATTCTAACTTGCTTTTGAAGATAAGCGTATTGTGTTCCTAGATGTGTGTCCTTTTACTTATGAACATAAATTAGGGTTCAAGAGTAAGTATCAGTTGTATCTGCATGGAGATAGAACACATCTATTTATACCATTGCATTAAATGCACATTTAATGCAATGCGTTAGGGTTTGAACACGTGTCAAGCCTTTAGAGAAAGACTTGTCCTTTGCTACAGTGAATAGTACGAAAGCCTATTCATGAGCAGACATCATTTCATGGAGGTGGTGGGTAGTAGAGTCAACTAATCGGCTATGTACCGTACTATGCTCTAGAAAGGGTATGGGTTTGTCTTTTGTGTATATAAGGACAAGACAAAAACAACCGTGCTCAACAAGCTTCTTTTGATCGCTGAATGTTGGAATAACTTAAAAGTCTCTTCAGCATTCGTTGAGGCTTGGGCAGTCTTCACACATGTGTAGACCAGGATGATCAATTTCTATGAAGGTCTCGACGATGAAATATATGAGTCTATTGTAAACGGCCCATTCGTACCTACTACTCTAATCCCCAGAATTCCTGCTGCTGATGACACGGTTGAAGTACCCACCAGGCGAGTTCCCAAGCTCCGTAGAGATTGGAACGATGAAGACAAAAGAAGGGTGGAGGTGGATCAAAAAGCCAAGAGGCTTTTAATCATGGCTCTTCCCAATGAGATTTTTCAATCTCTTGATGCCTGCGATTCGGCCAAAGATCAATGGGATCAATTGGCAAACAAACTGGAAGGAGGGATTAAGATGAAGAAGAACCGTCATGCTCAATGTCTGAATGAGTACAATAGTTTCCAAGCTCTCCCAGAATGAGTCTCTCGAGCAGACTTATCACCGGTTCAACACCCTGATCAACAAATGTAGGAAATGTGATGTGATCAGGACTCAAGAGGAAAAAACATGCTCTTCTTGAAGAGGTTAAATGCGGGGGAACTTGTCTATGTCCCTCCAGGCGAATGAAGACCTGGAGCAGTGGAGTCTTCATGACGTATACGACACCTTGCAAGCACAGGAGCAAGATGTGCGGAAGGCCAATGTCGTTCTGGGTGGACCTCTGGCTCTAGTCTCTGACTCTAAAGAGATTGGGTGCAGTCAACCACACAGAGAAAGGAGATTGAAGGAGGAGAAAAGAAGAGGAAAGAAGGCTCTTGTTGTGGAGAGCGATGATGAAGACAAAGCTTCAAGATCTGAAGATGATGACATTAGTGCATTTGCACATTCCTCGGCTTTAATCACCAAGGATGTTGGGTTCAAGATTAGAGYTTAAAAGTTGTATTCAAGTTTCTCCTTAGAATAGTTTTACTTGTAATATTTTAGCTTTTACTTTCCTAGTATAAATAGGAAATTCCTTGTAATTGTAATTAGAGCTTTTGTCATTAATACTGAAATMAAGATTTGGCTGATGTAATTCTCTCTCTCTTCAATCTAATCATTACTTACATCATTCTTAGTGTTCATCATTGTTCATATCAAGCTATGAAGATCACATCAAGATTCGTATGAAATCTGGACTCCACAATTGGTATCAAAGCAAGCTGCAGCAGTTTGGATTTGAAGATATCCATTTTACACATTTTTGCACAAATTTTTTAATATTTTTCGATCTGATTCATCACTGTTCTTCACTGTTCTTGATTTTTTTTCTGACCGGATTGGTTTTTGTGCCAAAACTGTTTAATCTTTGAGTGTTATTGTTCAAAATTTGTATCGTGAGTTTCGGTTTTGAATTCTAAACAACTTTGATTCACATCATTTTGTGTTTACACAAGTTTTGAGGCTGAAATTGCCCAAAATCATTTTTTTAGTTTTCTGGAAAAGTTCATAAAAAACTCATAATTTTCATGTTTTGATCCATTTTTTTGGAAAAAGTATGAAATTTTATGTTTTTGGTTGAATTTCTATCCGGATAAGACTTGTGCGGTTTAACAATCCGTGTGGTTTTAGTTGTTTTTGATATAGGTAAAATCGGACAACACTTGGAAGGATTTCTTGAACGGTTTAGCTAATCCGGCTAGTAAACCGGACATAACTTGTGCGGATTAGTGATAAACCGGATAACACTTGAGAGGACTTGTAAGCGGTTTAAAGGTATCCGGCTGGTAAGGACTTGGTAACTCGATCGGATATTGACCGGTTTAACCAAATCCGGGTGGTAAGTGTGCGGTTTAGGAATCCACTTGGTAAGTGAGCGGTATTTGACTCTTGAATGGTGTTTGACTTTTGAACGGTGATTGACTTTTGATCAATTTCATATCTTTTGACTTTGATTGGTACAAGTGTTTGAATTCTTTGATCGGTTTAATAAGTTTGACTTTTTGATCGGTGTAATAATTTTGACTTTTTGATCGATTTAGTAAGTTTGACTTTTTGATCGGTGTAATAATTTTGACTTTTTGATCGATTTAGTAAGTTTGACTTGTTGATCGATTCATCTTTGACTTTATACCTTGTGCGATTTATACTAGTGTGGTTTATGTTCATTTGTTGACCGGATTTCTAATCCGGATAACGCGTTAATTTTGTCCATCTCTTTGACCGGACTTGTAAACCGGACAACTTGTGCGGATTGTCTAAGTGTTGAATGTGTACTTATTACAGTTTACTTTTTATCAGATATATTTTTGTAAACTGATCTTTTAAATTCAAACTTTGAACTGCAGTCGATCATATTTTTCATACAAACTACAAAGATGAGCTCTAAAGAAGCAATGGCTATTGGTACTGATACCAAGCCACCAGTACTTTTTCGAGGAGATTA